CTTATGTGGTGCTGAGGAATCGAACCCAGGGCCTCAGGCATGCAGGGCAAGTGCTCTACCACTGAGCCACCTTCCCAGCCCGGTGCATTTAGCATCTTTTTTTGTGCATGATAGGACTAGGGCTGGAACTCAGGTCATGCTCTCTTGTTTAGCTTTTTTTGCACAAGGCTGGTGCTTTACCACTTAAGCTATACCTCTAGTTCCAGCTTTTTACTGATTAATTTGCAGCTAAGAGCCTCATGGTTTTGCTTGTCCTGGCTAGCTTCAAAGTTAATTAGATCTCAGTATCCTGAGTAGCTAGGATTATATGTGTGAGCCACCAGTAGCCAGTTTAAAAAAATTTTTTTTTGTTGGAGAAGTGGGGGGAATGGGTCTTGAACTCTGGGCCTGGGTTCTGTCATTCAGCTCTTCAGCTCAAGGCTAGCATTCTACCACTTGAGCCACAGTGTCACTTCTGGCCTTTTTGCTTATGTGGTGCGGAGGAATCGAACCCAGGGCTTCATGCATGCAAGGCAAGCATTCTACCACTGAACCACCTTCCCAGCCCTAAAATTAATTTTTAAAAAAGAAAATGGATGACTTACCAATAATAACTTCACAGGATTTATGTGCCTGAGAAACTTCATAAGCACAACGCATTTCAGAGTATGTAATTCCTCCAATTACAAAAACAATCAGTTTTGACCCATTTTTCCGGTCTAGTTCTAAATAATTAGTTCTGGGTTTCTGGCGAGCACTAAAAAGTAAAAAGAAAGCAAACATGTTAAAAACATTTTTATCATGTTCATAAAGACCTTAAAATATTTTTTTTGTGTGATACTAGGACTTGAACTTCTACCACCTGAGCAATATATTCCTCCACTCCCCTCCAACCCCCTTTGTGTTATTTATTGAGATAAGGCTTACTTTATGTTCAGATCAGCCTGCCTAGTGATTCTATTGTGCTTTCCCACATCCCTCGTATGACATTTTTACTAACTGTGCCCAACTAATGATTGAAATGAAGTCTCAAGAACTTTCTTTTTTTTTATTTGAGTAGGATGGCCTCAGACCATGATCTTTCCCATAACAACTTTTTTTTACAAAGCCTAATTTAACCAAACTCAACTAGTTATGTTGATTTTCCAAAATGATTAGAACACATAGACTTAAGTAGGACAGGCCCATTTAAAATGTATAATTTTAACAAATCACTTACACTGGAAGACCTGTCTTAAAAAAGTCAGGTGGCTCATGCCTGTAATCCTAGCTACTCAGGAGGCTGAGATCTAAGGACCACGGTTCAAAGCTAGCCCTGGCAAGGAAAGCCGTGAGACTTGTATCTCCAATAAAACCACCAGAAAACTGGAAGTGGCGCTGTGGCTCAAGTGGTAGAGTGCTAGCCTTGAGCTGAAGAGCTGAGGGACAGAGCTCAGGCCCAGAGTTCAAGCCCCATGACCAACAAAACAAAAGAGTCACTTATAGTCCAGTTCAGCATTTTTACCTATAAAGTAGAACTAACATCCTTCCTCATTTATTTTACATAAAGACATAATATACCTAAAAAGTCTGATTCACTGAGAAACAATTTTTTTCCCGGGCACTGGTGGCTCACACACGTAGGTAGCTCTTAGCTACTAAGGAGGCTGAGATATGAGGATCAAAGCCAGACCTGGCAGGAAATTCCATGAGATCTTTATCACCAATTAACCACCAGAAATCTGGAAGCAGCTCTGTGGCTCAACGTGGTAGAGTGCTTGAGGGAAAAAGCTCAGAGACAGTGTACAGGCACAGGCCTGGTGTTCAAGCCCCATGATCATCCCTTCCCCCACCTCACAAAAAAAAAGAACTCTGGGCCTGGGACCTGTCTCTCAGGGAGACAGTAAGCATTTGAAGAGATAAAGGAAAGAGTTGGAGCTGATGAGGCACTGGGATAGCCCTTGCTGAACTTCAGATGATTATGGCAGTAAGTTGGCTGGATGTGGTTTTGAGTAAAGACACATGAATCTTTGATAGCCCAGTATCTTTATCCCAACTGATGTGGGCATCCCATCAGTCTGAGAGTTAATGAAGAAATCTTGGATGTAAGGATATACTCTCTCGACTGTGCTAGATGACTGCTAAACTACTTGCACACAGGGGAAACCTGAGAACATCTGCAGAAAAAAATATTTTAAAAAAGGACATTTGAGAACAGGTTTGTTGCATTACTCAACCCATAATCAGTTTGACCAGCAAAGGATGAAAGGTACATGTTTAAAGCATGTAACACAATGACTGCACAGACAACTGGCTGACTCCCTATTCTATACAGACACAAAGGTAGCCAGTAAGAGCCAAGCCAAAAAATTAAAACTCTTGAAAGGGTAAGGGAATGTGGAGAATACAAGGATAGATTAGTTGATTGAGATATATTGTTCATATGTTTGGAAATGTCACAATGAAACTCCCATTTCCACAAATAATTTATGCTAACAAAAAGCTCTCAACAAAAGGTAGGTGGCTACATGCAGGAAAAGTGAAAGATTTCATAGTTTAATTCCAAAAATTAATATAACAAAAGGCAGTTGCTCCAATGCATTACCTAAAAGGTCCAATTTTCAACTCAAAATAAGTGGATTTGTCAAGAAAGTGTAGCTCACTTTAGGAGAGAAAAAATAGCTAATAGAAACATCCTTAGTAAATCCAGATAATAGATTTAGCAAAACCTCCAAATAATTATAAACATGATAAAAAAAAAAGAGAGAGAGAGAAAGCCGGGCGCTGGTGGCTCACGCCTGTAATCCTAGCTACTCAGGAGGCTGAGATCTGAGGATCACAGTTCAAAGCCAGCCCAGGCAGGAAACTCCGTGAGACTCTTATCTCCAATAAACCACCAGAAAAACTGGAAGTGGCGCTGTAGCTCAAGTGGTAGAGCATTCGCCTTGAGCTGAAGAGCTGAGGGACAGCGCTCAGGCCCAGAGTTCAAGCCCCATGACTGACCAAAAAAAAAAAAAAAGATAGAGAGAAATATATCCTAAGTTAGTTAACCAATAGGGAATCTTACAAGAAATGGAAAGTAAAATTAAAGAAGTGGCTCAGTGGTAGAATACTTGCCTAGCATATGCAAGGTCCTGGGTTTGATCCTCAGCACCACGAGAGGTGGGGGAGTGGAGGGAAGGCAGACAAGAGAGGAAACAAAAACAAAAGCCAAATAGAAATTCATATGAATGCATAACTAGAATGAAAAACTACCAGGTGGGCTCAAAAGAAGATTTGACATGTTATAACCAACAGTGAAACCTCAAGACAGTTTGAAGAGAGAACATAATTCAAAGCTGAAGAATAGAAAAAAGATTTGGAAGAAGAATAAACAGAGCTCGCGTGATCTGTGAATACTAGATCTTTCCATACATGTCTGAAACTAGTTTCTGAAACTAGTTCTGAAACAGGAAAAGAAAAAGTTGAAGGAATAATGCCTGAAAAAAATTCCTTAATTTGATGAAATAATTAACTTAAAACCCCATGTAGAGGGTCTGGGAAGGTGGCTCAGTGATAGAGTGCTTGCCTTATATGCATGAGTCCTTGAGTTCAATTCCTCAGCACCATGAAAGCAGAAAAAGCCAGAAGTGGTGCTGTGGCTCAAGTGGTGTAGCGCTAACCTTGAGCTAAAGAGCTCAGGGACAGTGCCCAAGCCTAGAGTTCAGGCCCCACAACTCACAAGAGAAAAAAGAAAAAAAAAACCCATGTAGAATAAACACAAAGAGAAATGTACCTACATATACCATAAACTGCTGAAAGCCAAGAGAAAAAGCAACAAAACAAAACTTAAAGATAGGTACAGGTAACTCACATCTGTAATACTATCTACTCAGAATGCTGAGATCTGGAAAATCAAGGTTGAAGCCAGTCAGGAAGAAAAGTGTGCTGTCTCCCAAAAATAATGAGCAATCCATCTCCAAAATAATGAGCAAAAAGGGTTGAGGTGTTGTTCAAATGGTAGAATGCCAGCTGAGCAAGCACAAAGCTCTGAGTTCAAACCTCAGTACCACAAATAACACACATACAATACTCACTCCCTGACATTTTTTTTTCTCAGTTGTGGGTCTTACACTCAGGGCCTGAGTGCTGACCCTGAGCTCTTTTTATTCAAAGATAGTGCTCAACCACTTTGAGCCACAGCACCACTTCTGGTTTTTCAGTAGTTAACTGGAAATAAGAGTCTCTTGGGGACTTTTCTGCTCAAACTGGCTTCAAATTGTGATCCTCAGATCTCATCCTCCTGAGTAGAATACATTCTCTAGGTTACAAATACAGGTAGAAAAGGCATAAAGACTAACAGGTAAATGGTAAGCATGAAATTGAGCATAAGAGAAAAAAACAGAATAAATGATTTTATGTGTTAAGTCAGGTACTGAGTATAAGACTATGAATCATCTAAGATGATTAAGCCAGTCACATGTCATGGTACATCCTAGCACTTGGGGGGCTAGGGCAGAAAAAATGAAAGTTCTAGACTGGCCTGGAATACATAGTGGGGGAAAAAAGGAAAGGGAAAAAGGAGCTCCCCCCAACAAAATAAACAAAGTTCTGCCAAGCTGGGTGTGGTAGTACACACCTGTAATCCCAGCTAAGGAATGCTAAGACAGGAGGATCAGGAGTTCAAGGCTATCCTGGGCTATACGGCAAGACCCTGTATCACACAAAACAAAACAAAAAAAATATACTAAACTCTCTGCTATATTAAGAATAAAAAGGTGTGTGTGTGTGTGTACATGGATAGTTTTATTTTGTAAAAGTATTTTATATAAGAAAGTATGTTTTGGTATTGCTTTCCTGGACTCATTTAACTGACTAAAATTAAATAAAAATCATCTCTTGCATAACTATGTGTTATCTGAAGGCAGTTGTCAAATGAGTACCTGTGTACCATTTCCAGTTATTAGTTTGTAGTGCCATACTGAAAATTTCACTGACTTTCATGTGTAGGTTTTACCTTACAGCTCCAGAACCATTCCATACTGCTGGACACTGGGAACAATATGGCCATTCTTTTGAATCTAATCTATTATCAATGGCATCCTAAGGAAGAAAGAGTGAACACCATCAAGAAAATGCTATAAATTCAGGACTTTTTTTTTGTTTTGCATGAAGGACAAATTTGTATTTATAATTAATAAACATTAAGGGTATATATTTTATATATGATTTTCTCTTTCTTTGAATTCCACATACTTTGCTTCAAAACTTAGCATCATCATTTATGTATTAAACTAATATTTTTTGCAGATGGACCTTTTTCATTTGGAGGACCTTTTAGCTCTAGAGTATTAGGAGATCCTGACTACCATCCCAATCCTATACACCTTGAAGGCTTCATAGTAGTGGCTCTAAAATGTGAGGCACATACCTGGCCTATGGATACTCAAGATAATCCATGAATGTGGGACATTTTCTTTTTGATTAAAAAAAATTTCCTCTTTTCAGTGCTACACTTTATGATATACTTGGTATACAAATGTACAGGGGCGGGGAAGGTGGCTCAGTGGTAGAGTGCTTGCCTTGCAGGCATGAAGCCCTGGGTTTGATTCCTCAGCACCACATAAGCAAAAAGAAAAAAGCCGGAAGTGGCGCTGTGGCTCAAGTGGTAGAGCGCTAGCCTT